AGAAGGATCATACCTCGAGATCATAAAAGCCATATATGAAAGACCCAACACTAATATCATCCTCAATGGGGAAAAACTGAGAGCTTTCCCCCTAAGGTCAGGAACAAGACAGGGATGTCCACTCTCACCACTGTTATTCAACATAGTGTTGGAAGTCTTAGCCTCTGCAATCAGACAACACAAAAAAATAAAAGGCATCCAAATCGGCCAGGAGAAGGTCAAACTTTCACTCTTCGCAGATGACATGATACTCTCTATGGAAAACCCAAAAGATTCCACCAAAAAGCTGCTAGAATTGACCCATGAATTCAGCAAAGTTGCAGAATATAAAATCAACGCACAGAAATTGTTTGCATTCCTATACACCAACAATGAAGTGACAGAAAGAGAAATCAAGGAATCAATCCCATTTACAGTTGCACAAAAAAGCCGATAAAATACCTACGAATAAATCTAACCAAAGAGGTGAAACATCTAAACACTGAAAACTATAGAAAGCTTATGAAAGAAATTGAAGAAGACACAAAAAAATGGAAGAAGATTCCATGTTTCTGAATAGGAAGAACAAATATTGTTAAAATGTTGATACTACCCAAAGCAATCTACATATTCAATGCAATTCCTATCAAAATAACACCAGCATTCTTCACAGAGCTAGAACAAATAATCCTAAAATTTGTATCGAAACAGAAAAGACCCCAAATAGCCAAAGGAATCTTGAAAAAGAAAACCAAAGCTGGAGGCATCACAATCCCAGACTTCAAACTATACTACAAAGCTGTAACCATCAAGACCGTATGGTACTGGCACAAGAGCAGACAATCAGATCAATGGAACAGAATAGAGAACCCGGAAATGGACACACAAACATGGGCAACTAATCTTTGACAAAGCAGGAAAGAATATCCAATGGAATAAAGACCATCTCTTCAGCAAGTGGTGCTGGGAAAACTGGACAGCAACATTCAGAAGAATGAACCTGGACAACTTTCTTACACCATACACAAAAATAAACTCAAAGTGGATCAAAGACCTCACTGTAAGACAGGAAGCCATCAAATTCCTAGAGGAGAAAGCAGGCAAAAACCTCTTTGATCTTGGATCAGCAGCAACTTCTTACTCAACACATCTCCAGAGGCAAGGGAAACAAAAGCAAAAATGAACTACTGGACCTCATCAAAATAAAAAGCTTCTGCACAGCAAAGGAAACAATCAGCAAAACTAAAAGACAACTGACAGAATGGGAGAAGATATTTGCAAATAACATATCGATAAAGGGTTAGTATCCAAAATCTATAAAGAACTGATCAAACTCAACATCCAGAAAACAAATAATCCAGTGAAGAATGGGCAAAAGACATGACTAGACACTTCTCCAAAGAAGACATCCAGATGGCCAACCAACACATGAAAAAATGCTCAATATCACTCATCATCAGGCAAATACAAATCAAAATCACAATGAGATACCACCTCACACCTGTCAAAATGGCTAACAGTAACAACTCAGGCAACAACAGATGTTGGCAAGGATACAGAGAAAGAGGATCTGTTTTGCATCATTGGTGGGAATGCAAGCTGGTGCAGCCCTCTGGAAAACAGTATGGAGGTTCCTCAAAAAATTAAAAATAGAACTACCCTACAACCCAGCAATTGCACTACTAGGTATTTATCCAAGGGATACAGGTGTGCTGTTTCAAAGGTGTGCATGACACATGCACCCCCATGTTTATAGCAGCACTATCAACAATAGCCAAAGTATAGAAAGAGCCCAAATGTCCATCAATGGATGAATGGATAAAGAAGGTGTGGTATATGCAATGGAGTATTACTCAGTGATCAAAAAGAATGAAATCTTGCCATTTGCAACTACGTGGATGGAACTAGAGGGTATTATGCTAAGTGAAATTAGTCAGAGAAAGACAAAAATCATATGACTTCACTTATATGAGGACTTTAAGAGACAAAACAGATCAACATAAGGGAAGGGAAACAAAAATAATATAAAAACAGGGACAGGGACAAAACAAAAGAGACTCATAAATATGGAGAACAAACTGGAGGGTTGTGGGAGGGGGGATGGGCTAAATGGGTAAGGGGCACTAAGGATTCTACGCCTGAAATCATTGTTGCACTATATGCTAACTAATTTGGATGCAAATTTTAAAAAATAAAAAATGAAATAAAAAAGAACCTTTATGAAAAATATACAATGTAGTTAATTAATTCAGTTGAGTAGTAAAACATGTATTTTTGCAAATAAAGGTTTTTTAATTTAAGCATAAACTTGCACATATATGGGTTTTTTTAAATTATATGGCTAAGAATTTTAGAAACTTGTGGGCATTTCCAAAAATTTTTTTAAAAAGTTAGTATGTCAGGGCACCTGGGTGGAACAGTTGGTTAAGCATCAGACTCTTGATTTCCACTCAGGACATGATCTCACAGTTGTGAGATTGAGCCCCGAATCAGACTTTGCACTGACAGCACAGTCTGCTTGGGATTCTCTTGCCCCTCCCCACTAGCACATGCCCATTCATGCACACTCGCTCTCTCTCTCTCTCAAAATAAACAAAAATTTAAAAAATTAATATACTTGGGTGCCTGGGTGGCTCAATCAGTTAAGCATCCAACATCAGCTCAGGTCACAATCTCACAGTTCATGAGTTTAAGTCTTGCATCGGGCTGTGCTGATGGTTCAGAGCCTGAAGCCTGCTTCAGTTTCTGTGTCTCCCTCTCTCTCTGCCCCTTCCCTGCTCATACTCTGTCTCTCTCTCTCTCAAAAATAAACAAACATTTTTTAAACATTTTTTTAATGTTTATTTATTTTGAGAGACAGAGTACAAGCAGGGGAGAGGCAGAGAGAGAGAGGGAGACACAGAATCGGGAGCAGGCTCTAGGCTCTCAGCTGCCAGCCCGATGTGGGGCTCAAACCCATGAAACCTGAGATCATGACCTGAGCCAAAGTCAGATGCTTCACCAACTGAGCCACCCAGGTGCTCCAAAAATAAACAAACATTGAAAAATTTTAAAAAAATAATATATCTATAGCAAATATACCTGAAATAAATGTCTTCACTTCCATAGATAGAATTTTATGTTCAAATTTTCAAAATAAGATTCAGAATGATTATACAATGATGATGAAAAATACTCTAAATAGCATTAATGAGTTTTTTCAGATTTTTGTTGTTTTTTGTTTTTGTAGACCTATATACACATATGCGTATATACATCTGTGTGCATGTGTGTGCATTTCCTTCTCATCAAATGAGGTACTGAATCAAAGTGAACAGTTTTTGCTAAAAGGATCATCTAGGAACGTTTAATTCATCGTGGTTCCCAAACTAAGATTGCTAGATCCACTTTACAGTGTTATTAAAAACTATTTAAAGCATGTTAAGGACTACTTAATATTTCATCAATACATCATCCAATTGCTTATTAAAAAGTCGTACATTTCCACTAACATGAGAGACACAATAACTTATTAAGATTAAACTCTTAACATGCCCTAGAAACTGTGTTGAGCACATTAATCTCATTTAAAACATTGCTAATCACTCTAGGAAGTAGGTGCTATCGTTATTCTTAATTTACTATAGACTTGCTCAGGGTTTGCAATCTCAGAGGGATAACAGAATTCTCTCAGGTCTGTCTGCCTCAGACCCAGGCTCTTAACCACCATAACATATTGCTTTATTTTGGCTAATTCAACAGTCAAAGAAAATAAAATATGTATTTTTCACATTCTTATTATTTCTTCAAATATTTGTTTTTCCTCTTTTGTGAACTATTTTCTACTATCATCCCTTATTTATTTTTTAATTTGAATACTAATGCTTTTCTTATTGTTTTGAGTTCTTTTATATTGTCTAAATAATTGGAAATATTTTGCTCAATTTTTATCTTTCATTTTATATAATGAATTCTTTCTTAAATAGTGAAATCTATAAATTTTTTCAGACTAGAACTTGTAAAAGAGTATCTGCATCAATTCCTTCATGTAATATTTCAGGAGAATCAAGGTTACACACTCAGATAATTGCTAATCTCTTAGTATAACATGGAAGGCAGCAGGTAAGAAATATACTATATGAACATTATATACCAAATTAGATTGGAACTTTCAAAATTATTTATTTAAGTTTATTAATTATTTAATAATTATTTTTGAATTAGATCACTTTTTATTCTTTTTTTAAGATTTACTCAGAATTAAGATGTGTGGCTATCTGGCTCAACTAAAACATAAAAAGGTCTAAAATAAGTATGCATACATATATAAACTATGCCGAATGACACAGAATACGCAGAGTTGTGGTATGTCTGCTTGACTTTTTTTTTGTGTTAGCTAGATACAGGAAAATAAATACAACTTAGCACAAATCCACCGCGCTTTTCTTGGCTTTCTCTACTTCATTCCTATTTTGGAAAAAAATCTCGACCTTCATCCAAAGAGGTGGCCAAGGGTTGAATATTACATTGGTCTTGCTACTAGTCCTGCCGTGAAAATAGAGTTTACTTTTTTCTCTGCCAGACGAAAGTGAGAAGTAAATGATTGACAAAGTGATTCCCAAGGAGGAAATTCAAACATTTGCCAGTGCCAAAGATAATTTTTTTTAATTTCATGCTCTCCTCCAATTCGTTGTCTATAAGCATAAATGTTTATGATCTAGGATTCATTCTATCCCACACGACAGCATATGATTTGGCAAGTTTGCTTTATAGAAACCTGTGTTCATATGAAGGAAAAATAGGGTGACAAATGCAAAGTATGTTTCCAAACAACAGCAAAAAAATTCTCACACTCTTTACCCCTGTTTTTGCTTAGGAAAAAGAGATGGTGTGAGTCATTATGGAAAATAATCCCTCTTACTACTCCTATTTCCCCACATCCTCTCCCACACAACTCCAAACATACACACACACACACACACACACACACACACACACACGCACACACCAAGAATTCAGCCCCCAAAATACAAGACGGACAGTTTTGTAGAGATGGGTTTATTTATAACAATGTAATATTAACATTTTCTGGAAAATACAGTAAACTGTAGAAAAGACAAATTCAAATAGGAGCAGTAAAGCATTTAAAAACACTTTTTATTTTTTATAATTATTTAATTAAACAGAAAACAGTGATAACAGAATCCATAGGAGCCAGATGTTAATGGAAGATTAAAAACAAAAAAAACTCTCTTGTAAAAAGTGACATTTTTTGTCTCTACACTAAGTAGCCTCAAGTGTACCAAACTCTTTACATGGAAAAATGCTTCTCAACAGCAACCTTGGCAATATGTAAAGATGATCTTACATTGCCAAATGGGCTTTGAGCTGCTTCCTAATTTACTTTTTCCTCAGTTTGTTACTCGATGTTACACATATTAATATGCCATCCTAGGCTAATCTGACTCCAAAACTCTCATCATGCTTGTGTTTCAATCTTCCTATCCTTCTATTACACACCAAATTGATTGCAACCAACCACTTCTATTGTTAGGAGAAAAGCATAGTATAGAAAATATGGCACTCATAACTAATATGCCTGAAACATGATGGTTTTCCAGTTGATAGTCGTGGAGCCAAAAGACTCTAAATTCAGGGTGTGTTTCAGCAACTATTCAGTAGAGACGGAACTACTCCTCATTAAGTCGTCTAGGCAACCATTTGGTGAAAAATCTGCAGTTAAATTTTTTCCTCTCGTTTTCTCTTTTTCTAGAAGTGACGATTTTTTCCCTTGTTTTCCACTATCCATTCCTCCTCACGTTTCTCTTTATACATTATCTTAGGCACTTATTCTCCTCTTTCTTTTTTTTTCTTATTCTTCTACTAATTATCCAAACTTTCTTTCCCTTGGAAAAGAGATCAAAACAAACACTTGCCTTTAAAGTTGGCCTATCAACTACCATCTGGTTATTATTTTGTTCCTTTTTAGAAAATCAACTGTAGATCTTTCGTAAAAATGGAAATTCTGCTCACTTATGCTACCAGAGTGTGGTGGAGTGCCAGCTTATTAAAACGCGGGAAGTGTCAGTGCAGAGACAACAGTGGTTCAGACTACTTTCCACATCCGCCTGCTTTCTTTTAAGGCTGAGGGCATTTGAAGTGCTATTTCTTAAGCAACACCAAAAACAAACAAAGGGTGAAGAAACTTTGATTTGAGGAAAGATTGCTTTTGTTAGCAGATCGCTAGCTAGGATGAGTTAGATTGGTAAGAAATAGATCATATGTTCTGGGAGGGGGAATATGGGAATGCTGAGCGGTCATTCGTATGGACTGAGGTTTCTTACAGCATCTGGATGTGGGTCTCTGATGTGGAGCTCTTTTTGACAGATTCAGCTAGTTTTGATTTGCTGCCACCCATTTCTCATGTGACTAAGAAGAGAGCATAAGATTTTCATTTATATAGTTTAAAATAAAGGTGTTAGCTAGCTTTCATCGTACTGCTTCACTACTCAAAACAACAAGCAAAACCACCTCTTTTCGGTGTTGCTATTGCCTACAGGGTAGGGTCCAGGTGCCTCAGCCTGCCTTTGCCAAATCTCTAGAATCTGAATCTCATTTCCAATCTTATTTCCCAAGTGTCTCACTACTCTCTGCACCTCAGTGTCAACCACACCAGCCCACTTATCTCCAAATACGCCATGTGCATTTCTGCCTCCTCTCAGCCTTCGTTCACATTTGAAATGCTCTTTACATCCCACCAATTGTATTGTTTATTATTTGCAGCTGGGCCAGCAGTAGATATTCTGAAAAGAGCATCTAGAAAGGCAGCCACTGTGGTCTCCCCTCCTGTCTTTTCTGACCATTATTGCCAAAGACCTCAAATTCCAGAGCCATCTAAGAATAAGGACCAGACGAGGTGAGGGGTAATAGATTATGTCAAGGGATAAAGTCTTAAGAAAGGGAGAGTAATGTCCTTATGGTGTCACTGGCCACTCAGATAAGGTGGTTCCTTACTAAGTGTGAGACAGTGTTTCAGGACATAGGTAAGTCAGACATGTATCAGTGGAGAGTTGCCAATTTCCATATCTTGAAGAAACAGTGACGGGGGAGGGACAACAGCTTTAGAAAGGCACTCAATTTAATTAAATTGAGTAAGTCAAAGTTTTATATAGTATTACTTGTTATGGAATCTCTGATCATTTTTTCATTTAATACTGCAAATTTATATTATCACTCATTTGTTGAGGATGCAGTTGTGAAGACTGGACACACAATGTCCAGTCTGCCTCCTCTTACCTGAAAAACTGAAAGAGCCAGAAATAAAATTAAAAACAAACAAAACAAAATATCAATTTGTTTTCAAGTTAAAAGTGTACATTCCACTATTGCTGATAGCCAATTTTATTTTCTCAAAGCAGCTCTTAAAATGTGCCTGAAAATAAGAAACTAACCGAGTTAGGTAAGATTTAGAGGCTTTCTAAATAACTTCATTCTACATGTAAGAAAACCAAAGTTCCAAGAAATAAAGACTGCTTGTATTTGAAAAGAACCTGTGAATGAAAAAGAACCTCTCTTTCTTTCTTTTTTGGATTTTCTGTCACTCTTGGTGACAGAATAATCCAAACCACTGGGCCTCATTTTCTGCTAATTAAGTGAAGTAACTACTAAGCTATCTCCTTGGGGTCTATAGCCTCTGATGAAACAGACTCCCTTCCCCCCACCCCAACACAGGCTCACATTATCTCCTGACCAACCACCTAAACATCCATTGCTGTAAGAAAGCACGCGTTCTCACTGGCAGAGTGGGACCGTTCATTTTGTCAATTACCAATGGGGGGGGGGGGACAAACATTTGGGGAGGGGACCCAAAGCCATCTTGGCTGTGGAGGGAAAGGGGAAAACTGGTGGTAACTACGGAGGGCAGGCTGGAGCTAGGAAGAAGGTAGGCTTCTGTGAAGTTGCCCCAGAATCTTGGTGCAAAAGCAGCACCATCTCAGCATGTAGTGCTCGGCAGAGGAAGTTAGCGTCTCTTGTTCTATTTAAGGGCATGGGTTTCAAAAACCCCAGCCATGATAGGAAGCATCAAAAGAAGAAACTAATCCCCATACCTAGACCAAAACCACCAAAGAGAGGCAATGTGGCTCGGGGACAGCCTGCAGGCAGCGGCATCTATGGAAGTAAGAAAACCCCAAAGCAAAGGAAAAAGGAGAAAGGAGTTCAGGACTCAATTCTGACGCTGCTGAGTATTCTTTAAACAGACTTTGTTTTAAAATCTTGCCTTTAAGCACACCCTCAACTTCAATCATTATCTTAAACTTTTTACTGGCCTGTGCCTCAGTTTCTTCAGCTGTGAAATGGGGACAGTAATGCCTACATCAGCATTATGAGAATTAAGAGGGTGTGCATGGGTAAGGCACTTAGAACAGCACTCGGCATATAGTTCACACTGTGTTTGCTCTCCTTTGGAAAGGTGATACAAGTTAGTGGTTAAAAGCACAGATTCTGGATTCAACCTGCTTTGGTTTGAAACTTGGCTTTGCCATTTACTAGTATGGCCTTGGGCAAGGATTTGTCTGGCCTGTTTTTTTCATATGTTGTGCTGTTAAGAGAATTAAGTAAACCAACACACATAAAGCCCTGGTAAAAGTCTTTAACGTATATTGAATGTTAGCTATTAATGCATATTTTTTAAACATGTTTTTTTTTTTTATAATTTTTTTTTTGTTTATTTATTTTTTTGGGACAGAGAGAGACAGAGCATGAACGGGGGAGGGGCAGAGAGAGAGGGAGACACAGAATCAGAAACAGGGTCCAGGCTCTGAGCCATCAGCCCAGAGCCCGACGCGGGGCTCGAACTCACAGACCGCGAGATCGTGACCTGGCTGAAGTCGGACGCTTAACCGACTGCGCCACCCAGGCGCCCCTATTAATGCATATTAAGCATTGTCTCTCCCTTCCCTTCCCTGCTCACCCACATGTGGCCTATCACTGAATCTGGAACTTGGGTACAGTGACAGCACTCCAGAGATATCAAGAAGCTGTGCTCAGGGCCTCTCACCTCCAGCAGGGACTTTGCCACGACTATCTGGCCAACACCCCCTTTGTGCATGCAAGTTTCCCACACAACGTGCAAGGGAATTTATGGAAAAAGTTTTCCCTATTTCCCTTTCTGCCTTCAGGAGACCAGGAATAATCACTTAGTTAACCCACATTATATTTTCATGAGACTCATCTTCCTCCTAAGTGGAGGGGAAACTCTGAAGTGATAGAAGGTATTTTTAATTAAATCGAGAATAAAGCCACACATTCATATACCATTTACTTGCGCTCAAGCTGCCAGGGGCTTTTCAAAGTCTCAAAGTCACAATTGAAAATAGCACTTTTAACTTTAAAAACATCAAAGGCCAATTCTAATCTAAGACTGTAGAGAATTCAGAACTGTTTTTAACTTGATTTTAATGAATAAGACATTTGTGCATAACCATCTTAAATTAAAAAAAAAAAAGAAAGTTGCCCCTGTTATACAGAAAAAAGAACTCTTTGTTGCATGGAAGAAAAAGTTGTAGCCTTTGTATTTCTAAGAAGTGTATTTTTAAGATGTATTAGAGCACCCTCTTTTGGTATCTAAGAACATAGGATATCCTAAAAATTCAATAATCAGAGATTAGCACATTTTCTTAAACCCATAATTTCCTTTCTAAACTGTCTCAGAAAAATTGTTTAAATAGTTATTTTTGTTTTCTGCTGTTGTTTTATTTGTTTTTGCAATAATCCTGAACACACACATAGCATAATTGCTGAAACAAACAAATCAAAACAAAACAAGTTGGAAACCTTAGGAAAACATTAAATGTGACAGAAGTGAAATCAGTAAGAAACGTGGTGCCAGCACCACCTAGTGTCTATTTTGAGCAATTGTTGCATGTAAAAAGAAAATTTACCCAAAGGAATACAATTTAGGTTGAATTTAGGTCAAAATTCTGAAACCAAATTTACATCTATTGACTGATATCCCCCTTATTTTTTCTATTGTTCTCCACAGTCTTTATAATATCAAATGAAGAAATATTTTAAAAATGAATTTTTTTTACACGAATAGAAATCCAATTTAGGTGCAAATGTAATTATAAAACTGGAATATTCGAATGTCTAATGTCTCTAAATCACCACAAAATCCTTCCAAGAGCTCTAACAGTAAATTCCATATGCTCAAAGGTGGGGCAAGACTTTTTTTTCTCATCTTACTCTGAGAAGAATTGTTCCCCGAGGCCTCTGTAGTGATACCTGTCCAGGGCTTCAGGGACTCCTCTGCCATCAGTGCTGCCAGATATTATTCAGCTTCTGAAACATACCTACATGGAACAAAGGAGATCATTTCACTTGCCTGTGAGGCCCTACCTTTAAGATATTCACAGTTAGTTCATGACAGATCATATTTGTGATTCCCACAGAATATCAGTGTGCCCTTTCCAGTTATAGGCAGCCCCAGGACAAATGTGAAATGCGTCAAGTTTGGGTGTGGTGCCTCTCTCTTCAGTTCAGCCTGTCCCCCCCTTTGCGTCATTTCCAGGGCACTACTTCCCTCCCCAAAGAGCCACAGGTGCCTCACTATTTTCCATTCCTTAGAGTCCTGCAAGTGAATGGCAAATTAAATGGCAATTGCACTTGTCATATAAAATCTTTTTTGTGATAAGGTAAAATATAAATGAATAAAGGAGGGAGTGAATAAATAAATGCCAAGCAAATAAATAAAATTCCTTCTGCTAAGGCATAAATGCCTCAAGAGGGCTTATGTGCTATTCTCTCTATATACAACTTTTTAAAAATTTTTTAGGAATCCTGAGTGGAATTCTGTTTTGAGCAGAGGGTCTTTTGGTGCAAGAGAGGCAGTGCACATCCTGACTCTGAGAGCCTCATCCTGGGTCACTCTTGCCTTTCACACTTTCACACTTTCTTACTTGTGTGGATTCCCAAAGGTACTCCCTGAATCCATTTTCTTCATCTGCAAAATGAGAAACATTAGCAACTATTTTGTATGATTATTATTATGAAACTTCAGAGGGATCTACTATGGTACTTAGTAATCACCAGTCACTCAAAGTATGACTATATAATTATTATTACTATTATCATTATTATGTATACATATTATTATCATTATTCCTATTGGTATGTGCTCAATAAGAAATCCTCCCTAGAATTTTAACAAGGAGCAACAATACCTTTCCAGCCTTTTGCTTGAGCCAATGTTTCCACTTTTAAACAGCTTCAGATTTTCCATGTTCAATAAGAATTAACATCAATAACTCTGGAAAAAATGGAATCCACTCTGGTTAATCAGTCCTAGTTTTAGCTAAAGAGGTGCTGCTCACAGGAAGAAAAGAGAGCAAAGGAATAGGAGGAAAATGTACTTTAGCAAATGACATAGAAAAGAACAGACATTCACCTGAAAGTCTGCCACTCTATGCTCAAGCAATTAATAGTAATGATGATGATAAAAATAAAAAAATAATAATAGCTTGTCTATGTTCCAGGCACTTTCCTTAGCAATTTACTAGTATTCACTCATTTAATTCTCATAATTCATCATTTTATACATTGAAGCACAGAGAGTGCTTCAAAAGTCCTGATAGCAAACAGTAGAACTGTAATCTGAATTTGAGGTGTCAGTTTTTACAGATAAGACAACAGGCTAGTGTGCTTTGTAACTCTTCCTGTCTCTCCCTCTCCCCCTTTCTCTCTCTACAACCATCACCTCCCAAACTGGCCAAAGCCACCTACGCTAGCAAAATTGAAGCAAACGCACCATTTCCTCTTGGAAGTAGGATGCCTTGCTCTGTGGTAATTCACATTCTAAGATGGTTCCAACCTTTCCAGCCCAAATTACAAAAATATCTCTTGGCACAAGGAGCAAAATTGTTTTTTATTCTGCTTTCTCTTCCTTTGAATAGTCAAGTTTCCAAATAACTGCTTACTAGCTTTATTATTCCCTTTTGTCCTGGTTTATCTGACAATAATAATTATTATTTAGCTACTGACTAAGCCAAGTGGCTTATATATAGACAATGGCAAAAATGGGCTTCGAGACTTCCTTTAATGAGCCCAACTAGATAGTTTTGTTGACACTGTCATTGACAATAAGCAAAGATTCCTCCAAAAGAGCCTGATTTTTTTTTTCGAAAAGTTGATAGGCTATTTCAATTTTGTCTTTAAACTACAATTGACCTCTCATTCCCCTTTGTCTGGATTTTATCTTAGAAAAAAAATCCTTTCATTAGTAAATATTCAACAAGCCTGATACCTCCTGTAACATATAATACTTATAAATATGTATATAATGGAACATTTCTGTGTGCCTTGTGATAAATAAGTGGTTTAAGATATACATTTGGAATGTATGTCATTACCAGCAGTAGTGAAAGGGACATGGCTTCGTTTCTGGTCTCCTAATCCTAAATGAGAGATAAATACCACATAATACTGTGATCCAAGAGTTGTTAATTTTTTTTCTTTTACATTTTCATGGAACACATTACTCATTTAAGTACTCGAAATTCTGTTTTGTTGCAGTAACTGTCATAAAACACTAGTGAGGTGACTCATTGTTAAAGGGTAATGTTCATCACCTGTCAGCAGCTTATTAGTGTGACTGAATTGGCACTAATGTGGTAATTACTATGAATTGTCAATTTCCATTATAATGTCTTCTCCCAGCACCAAGAACTAGGGATGTTTGTGAAAGCACACAGAAAGGCAGAGATAGCCAAACTAACAAACTCAGCTGCCCACAACCTCCACCACCAGAAAATAATGGCAAAAGCATCTGGAATAAAAATGATGATGATGATAGTCAATATTTATTGAATAAGTATTCTTTACCAGCCATTCACCAAGTGTTTTACATATAGCTCATTTATTACTTCCACTAACCCTATAAAGTATGTACTATTCTTTTTTTTTTATTTTATTTTTTTATTTTTTTTTTTAATTTTTTTTTTCAACGTTTATTTATTTTTGGGATAGAGAGAGACAGAGCATGAACGGGGGAGGGGCAGAGAGAGAGGGAGACACAGAATCGGAAACAGGCTCCAGGCTCTGAGCCATCAGCCCAGAGCCTGACGCGGGGCTCGAACTCACGGACCGCGAGATCGTGACCTAGCTGAAGTCGGACGCTTAACCGACTGCGCCACCCAGGCGCCCCTACTATTCTTAATATCACTGTACAGAGGATAAAGCTGAGACTTGGAAATGATGTAAATTTCCCAAGATCATGTAGCTAGTGAGTAGGAGAGCTACTCAAACTCAGGTCATACATATCCAAAATGCACATGCTTACAAAAGTCACCAACCAATTTAAAAATGGGAAGAAGACATGAATAGACATTTTTCCAAAGAAGACATACACATGGCCAACAGACATGAAAAGATGCTCAACATCACTGATCGTCCCAGGGAAATACAAATCAAAACTACATTGAGATATCACCTCATACCTGTCAGAATGGCTAAAATCAACAACACAAGAAACAACAGGTGTTGGCAAGGATGTAGAGACAGGAAAACCCTCTTACACTGTTGGTGGAAATGCAAACTGGTGCAGCCACTGTGGAAAACAGTGTGGAGTCTCCTCAAAAAGTTAAAAATGGAACTACCCTATGACCCAGTAGTCGCACTCCTGGGTATTTACTTAAATATAAAAACATTAATTCAGGATACATGCACCCTGATGTTTATAACAACATTATCTATAATAGCCAAATTATGGAAACAGCCTAAGTGTCCATTGACTGATGGATAAAGAAGATGGGGTATATATATATATATATATATATACACACACACACACACACACACACACACACACACACACACACACAATGGAATATTACTCAGCCACAAAAATGAATGAGACCTTACCATTTGCAATGACACGGATGGAGCTGGAGAATATTATGTGAAGCAAAATAAGTCAGGTAAAGATAAATACCATACAATTTCACTCATACATGGGATTTAAGAAACAAAACAAATAAGCAACAGGAAAAAAGAGAGACAGAGGCAAACCAAGAAACACTTGACTATGGGAACAAACTGATGGTTACCAGAAAGGAGGTGGATGGAGAATGGGTGAAAAAAGTGGTAGGGATTAAGGAAGGCACTTGCTGTGATAAGCATTGGGTATTGTATGGCAGAGTTGAATCACTGTATTATATACCTGAAACTAATATTACACTGTATGTTAACTGGAATTTATTTAAGTTTAATTGAGACAGAGAGAGACAGAGAGAGAGAGAGAGAGAGAAACATAGCGTGGGAGGGGCAGAGAGAGCAGGAGATACAGAATCTGAAACAGGCTCCATGCTCTGAGCTGTTAGCACAGAGCCTGATGTGGGGCTTGAACTCACAAACCTCAAGATCATGACCTGAGCAGAAGTTGGACGCTTAACCAACCGACTGAGCCACCCAGGCACCCCAACTAATGGAATTTAAATAAAAACTTTAAAAAAATAGAACGAGGGACCAAAACAATAATTATTTCAGAAAGTGAGCCTTCATAAATTTAAAAGAACAGGGGAGCAATGAAGACTCAGTTTGATGTTTGCCATCGTGTTTTTATACATAATACAATGTATATAGCTCACTCACACAGACCGAAAAAGGAAATTATTGTACAAATACTAAACATTTGGACAGTAGGAATGTTCTGAAAATTTGTAGACAATAAAGTACTAGTGATTAATTTAAAAAAAAAAAATTCTTGTGCTTAACAGTTTAACTCTGCTCCAGGGTTCCTCAAGCTCTACACTACTGACATGCATAGCCAGATAATCCTTTGCTGTGAGGGTCCACCCACCGTAAGGGTCCACTCCCAGGACTGCAGGATATTTGGCAGCCTAGCAGCATCCTTAGCCTCTTTCCACTAGAAGCCAGCAGCGCTTTCTCTCCCTGTCCCCCAACCTAGTTGTGGCAGTCACAAATGTCTCCAGACATTGACAAATGTCCTCAAGAGGTAAAATTGCCATTACCCTGCAAGTTAAAAATCACTGTTCTCCTCTAATACTCTTTATACTGTTTATACAATATCATGTCATTCAATAACTTCCTGAATTACAATTTTAGTGTAATACATTTAATTGAAAATTAAATTAGTTTTAGGGGTGTCTGGGTGGCGCAGTCAGTGAAGCGTCTGACTTTGGCTCAGGTCATCATCTCACAGCTTGTGAGTTCAAGCCCTGTGCTGGGCTCTGTGCTGACAGCTCAGAGCCTGGAGCTGCTTGGGATTCTGTGTCCCCCTCCCTCTCTGCCCCTCCACTGCTCGTGCTGTCTCTCCCAAAAATAAACATTAAAAAATAAGTTTTTAAAAAGTTAAAAAAAATAAATTAGTGCTACACCTAAGATATTACTTTTGATTATTTTACCTAAAAAAAATTATATTTGAGAATTTAAAACAATCAGGTTCTTTGCAATCTACCCCTTTGGTATATATAAGATATGAAGTTAGGCTTCGCCAATGAAATAATAAGTAGGAGGTGATTTATGTTGCAAAGTTTATTAACTTCCTCTTCTAAAGTGTGTCACCATTTTTCAGTTGGTATACTTTAGAAGATAAAATTAAGAAGACTTGTATCAAGAACAAGTTTCTTGAGCAGTGAAGAGTTTATTTGATTACTGTATACAGACATGGCCTAAGTCAACAATCAAATAAAATATAACTGCATGCATATATATCTGAAAATTAAAATAAATTCATTAGTCCATTTTCTAAAAATTCAGAATTTTACTATTTTTCTAAAATGTCTAATAAAATTTACTACAACTTTGGTTTTGCTTTTGTTCCTTTTAAAATATATACTTAAATATATATTAAAAGCAAGTATTTTGCTATTTCTACCTACAACATTCACTAAATATTTGTGTCATGTTAGTTACTTTAGGGAAGATATAAAAATGATGGTCTGCATTCCTGAGGAAATCATTTCAGAAACAAGTCACAATACACATAAGCCCTAAGAAAGGAAAAGACAGTATAAAGCAACTAGTAAAGTGTTTTGAATAAGTCTTATTAAAGAAAAACATATGCACACACATACACCAAAGTTAAGGAAGATAGTGAAATTCATTTTAATAGGCATGTTCCATATAAACAATTTGTCACAAATTTTGTATTTTAAGAGTCTATAAGAAAAATCACAGTATGCATAGACTAGAAGCAAAATACATCAAACAAAAATATCCTAAAGATATTTAAGTTGTCAAAGTTTTGCAATTTTTCCAAATCATTTTAGGGTTTGGGGAAAAATAGTGCATTTTTGCTTTAAAAACAAATGTTCTCTATGTGTTTTTGACTATTATTCCTTCTCATCCAAAAAAAAATACTGCCCTACAAATTCCATAGTTTTAAATGAATGGTGTTTGTTTTATATTTACTAAGAAAATGGTTTGCCCATTACCATAAAAACAGAATTAAAAATACATCTGGCTAAGTAAATCCAAAAGAGAACAGTGGATTTTGTTAGGTTTATAGATAATGATATGTATATAAGTGACCATACATTCTTAACCTTTTCCTTGGGTGCAATTTGGAAGTAATATGCCTTTTAATAGCCTACATTGGACATTGTGGTTGCATTCCAAGTGAGTAGCATCACAACAAAATTATCTAATATACACGTGTTGCTTAGGGCTGCAATGTTACCATAGTTACTACCAGATCAAACATCTCAGGAAAGCAGGGCCACTAAGTCTTTCAGTTTACAGAAATTCAGCACTTTTGATAGTTTATGAGCCTTCATTTTTCTTCTTTTGGGGGCTTTTCCAATTGGCATTGTGTTGTTTCTTCATCTTTCTTTTTTACATCTAAAAAATAAATAAATAATTCCGTTCATTTATAGAATATGGTGAAATATATTTTATACTATAGTGGAATGAAACCATTAGTACTTCCTTTATGCATCCTAATAATTCTCTCCTTGATTAGGAGAGGCTTTGCCCTCAATCTAGATATGGAAACTATACAAAGAAAAGAAATATGGATAGGTTTGGGAATCAACATTCTCCTAGTTACCTTTCCCTCCTATTCTCCAGAATTATTACATGCGAGGCAGTCTCCTAGGTATTATCACAATCTCCATTTATAGATTAGTCTATTGAAATACAAACAGGTTAAGTAACTTGTTCAGTCACAGAGCTAGTAAGTGACAGAAACACAATTTGGACCGGGTCAAGTGGCTCCATAGCCCAACCCCCTTAATGATCTCCCTATAGTTCATCACACTCTCTCCAGCTTCCTCACAGTTTCTACCTCCTTTGCTCTTAGAAGATGATCTCACTACTTTGCAGAAAAGAAAAAAAAAAATCAAAATCTTCAGGTAAAAGCTCCCTCAACCACCAAATTTCTAAAACCCCGTAGTCTGTACTTATTCCTTCTACCCTTCCTCTTATTACAATGGAAAATGTGTTCCTCAGGACTGGTTACATAATTTATTGGAGCCCAGTGCAAAGTGGGAATGTAGCACCCCGTCTTCAAAACATATGGAAAACTTCAAGACAGCAACAGCAAGTGCAAATCTCTTCTGAACCCAGGGCTCTGTGCAACCAACCACACCTCACCGCACAATCCTGGAGCTGGCCTCGGTGCTGCTCAGACTATCCAAGTGTATTCCTTCAAGATCTGGGACCCTCTCCATTTCTGCCTCATCAGCAAGCTGACTCTAACAATCATCTCCCGCCTTCATTTCACCTGACTTTCCCTTGCTCCTGACTCCTCATTTCCTCACATCACCACCAACTTTGAACTAACAAAGGCCTTCTTTTAACTGAAAATTTTCCACATACTATCTTGTCTTTTATCCTTTAAAACATATCTCTTGAGGTCTCCATTTTAAATGAAAGCTATTAAGTCTCTTCTGCCTCCCTAATACTCTTGCCAAAATCATCACTGGCATCT